AGTGATAACAACCCACAGGCGAGTCTCCTGACTTAAGGTAAATTCCACAAGGGGACACCGCCTAGGTCAGGTAGACATTAAGTAATAGCTTTACACAATTTAGATCAGACCCCTCCTTTCTTACAGCCTTACTAACTTTATAGACCTCTAACTACTTACCCAACCACTTCTAGGAATATTTAGATAACCTTCTGTGCTAACAGCTATGCTCATCCAGAACTCCCAGTTCAAGCCTCCCTGTAATTATCACTATTGGTAGCATCTGACCAGGTCCATCACTGGATGGAGGAAAGTACCTTATCAGAGATTCCTTTGTACTCTCTAAGAACAGACTTAAGCATCCAGGCTACCTGTTTGAGAAGGCCTGGCGGATGTGCTAATTAAGCTTAATTTCCTCCTTTCCCAAACCTTACCTCCAGTTCCAGATCTCCCTTTAACTATCACCAGAGGCTGTACACAGGTTGCCTAGAAACTGAGCACACTTTCCCCCACCCTGCAGAAAAACGGCAGACAGCTTGGACAGATAGGAGCCACAGGAAAAAAGAAGACAGTTTTATTTTCTCCCATTGACCTAGCAACTTATAGATTTTTAACATCTTTTACCAAACACATTTAAGATTATAGTTGTGCACGTAAGATCCCTCTTCTTAGATATTACCCATATTTAGCCTTTAATTAATTCATTAGTCACTTCCCCTTTGGGTCACAAATGGTAATTAACAACTAGTGCCCCTCTTTGTAATTCTTATCAACCCTCCATTTGATCCTGATAGTGGACAATCACTGCCTGAGGAAGTTCAGGCTGAGTGTCCTGGGTGGAGGGGAGGATTGTGATTTTGGGGAGATATATAACTGTAAAGTAGAGGACAGAGAGAGGAGAAGAGAATGGAAGAACGAGATGGGTAAGAACTTGAGAGGAACAAACTGAGATGGGGAAGAAGTAGATTGAAGGGCTACAGGAGAGTATTAGAGGAACGAGATGGAAGATGAGGAAGAGCCAGATGAGAGAGAAGGAGACAGGAGAGGAGATGATATGGGAAGGAACAAGATGGATGAGAACCTAGAAGGGGCAGAACTAGATGAAGGAATTAAGATAGAACTTAGAGGGGATTGCAGACAAGTGTAGAGAGAAATCAGGCTAAAGATGACCTAAATATGAGAGCAGAATGTAAGCTTATAACTCACAGAATAATAAAGTATATGGACTAAGGAGTTTTGTGAACATAGATTCATTTCTTTTCATCAAAGATTAATTATCAGCTGGTTGTAGATTCTTCCCGGACCCTGGGAGGGGACTATCGAGGGGCTGGACCCCCATAGTCTCCGATACTCTTCCTTATTTTATTACTGCCCTTGAAAATTTTGTGGCCTGATCATAGCCATGCTCTCATCACTTCCTAGTTGGGTGATCTCCTATAACCTCTTCCAGGCTCAGCTACTTCATTTGTTAAATCCAGGAGTACATGGATGCTGACGTAGTGACCCATGGACCACACGTTGAAATAGCATTGACATGTCTTAAGCAATACATAATATTAATTATTGATGCTGACTGCCATATAAAACTTTAAAAAGATGATATAGCTAGCTATGGTATGAGTCTGTTATGTGTTAGGGGGAACAGCAAGGGAAAAGATTTTTATCTTCACCACTCAAAGGTAATTTCTCCCATGATATTAATTTCTACATCTGAAGAATTTTTTTGCAGAACTCAGTTACTGAAAAAACTATTCCATTCTATTGCAAGTTGATCTGACTTTAAGAAAATAGCTGTGCTCCTGTATTTAAATGGAGAGTAAGTCTCCCTGCCTGGTATGTGGTCTCGCTTTACTAAGAAACAGAGTAAGATTAACACCCACTAATCCATGACGAATAAGATCTCATTTATTACCTTTTCCTTTCTCATTCCAAAAAAAGGCTACGCATGAAAATCAGAGCCTGTGACATTTAAAATAGAAATCATATTTTAAAATGGTTTTCATTATATTATACTAGAATATTTTAATAATTTGATTAGCAATTTATTCTAAATTTATAGATTGAGTTTTTTGTATTTTACAGTATTTCCCTAAGTAAAGAAATTGTATGTCATCATTGGGCAGTAATCATACACCAAAGGCTCCCTGCTAACTACACACTGTCTCGATTCTGTCTGAACTTGGACTTAGCGGCACTAGCAGTTCTGAGCACTCTGTTTTAAAATCAAAAAATCTGTAATTAACGTGTGCTGAGGTGAACTGTGTAAGCACAGCCCAGCTTGCTCCTCCCACAGGTATGTCTGCTGGGCCTGCTTTGGATCTGAGGCATAAGAAGAGCTTCAAGGAAAGCCTCATTAGTCAGGTGGACATTCAGTCCCTGCCTGGTTCACATCTTTACATCCTGAAATTTGTAATTCAGCTGTTTTCAAGATCTTAGTTCAACTCTTATTTTATCAAGTTAGAAAATAAAATGTTTGTAACTGTGTTTTTAGATTGAAGCTAAGCCAATTTGAAGGCTAACCCTCAGCCTTTATATTTGAATGCTTAGCTGATTGTTGTCGTAGTCGTCCTGATATTTATCTTTGGATTTTGTCATGACCGGTCTGTCATTTGTTTTTTGTGCAGGAGATCTTGTTGGATAATTCTGTGTTGGTAGGTCCCTGACCCGACTCCTAACTTTGTTGAGGTTTGCAGTGCTGTTTTTCGTATTGTTTTTGGTTGCAGATGTTTCTCTGTGTTTAAAGCTAACCGTCAATGCACAATCCAGTATGCATAGCATGTTTCTTGGTGTTTATTTAATACTAGTGCCAACACATCCTTCCTAACCTTCTCTAGCTGGTGCACTTGCTCCTTGCACTAAAGTTTGCAATGTTTTCGTTAATACACTAATTTCAGAAGGACATCGTGCTTATGGTCTGATTGCTGTCTGTGTTCTGCCTGCCTTGTCTGCCTGCTCTAACCCCGCCTCCATTCCTCCTCCTAGTTGACATGCTGGAGCATGACGTGGAGACGGGAGGCCTCCCGTTTGCTCGGTGTGACAGCCCCCAACCTCCTTATCAAACCCATGAAGAGTACTTCTAAGCATGCTTTTCTTTTTAAAGGATTGCTTAACTGATGGATGCTGCACCTTCCTTGTGTTACATGCTTGTAAACTTCCAGTCAAAATAACTAATGGATTATTCATTTTTATTTAAATTTTTCATGTAGAATGCTGTTTTTAATCATTGACATTAACTACAACAGTAATCTTGGGCACGAGTAGACTTGCTCTTTATGTTTGAACTTCTGTGTGACCCCATAGAGTAGTTTCTAACAATAGAAGTCTTAAACCTGACTGTGGTGGCATTACCGTGAGGACTCTGTGAATGGTGTTCTACTCCCTCCACTTTGGAGTGGGAAAGGTGGATGTCTAACAGAACAGACTTGCAAAGCAGATTCCGCCTTGTGTTTCACTGATGACCTACCCGATAGCTTTGACTCATAAATTTGGAACCCGGCCTTTTTTGCAAGTGTTCCTTATACAGTGGACAGCACCTGCCACCACCCGTTTTGTTTTTCCTAAAATTTAGCCTCACTTTCTGCAAGAAATTCACCTGCTTCAGTCCTGTTCTTCCCAAATATCCCAAATCACCAGCTCTCTGTCATAGCTGTGCCATGTTGGTCCAGTTTTAACTTGAAAATCACTATGACAACGCATAGTGGGCTAAGGGAAGCCATGGAAGACACCTGTGAGGCTTTGGGTCCAATCCTTCCACTCCTCAAAAAAAAAAACATGTAAATTATTGTAGGCCACGTCAGATTGGTCTTTGTTACCCTAGTTAAGGAGAAATAAATTTTATATCCCTAAATTTTATATTACTTAGGAGATCATTAAGTAAGAATTTGTGTCCAGGATCAGGCCACGATAGTATATGTCTATAATCAAGAGGCTGAGACAGGAAAATTGTGAGTTTAAGGCCAGTCTAGGCTACATAGCAAAATTCCCACTCAGAGAAAAAAAAAATTACCCTGGCAGTGGTGGCGCACACCTTTAATCCCAGCACTCGGGAGGTAGAGGCAGGCGGATCTCTGTGAGTTCGAGGCCAGTCTGGACTACAGAGTGAGATTCAGGACAGCCAGGGCTGTCTGTTTTTGTTGTCTCAAAAAAACAAAACAAAAAAGTTAAGAAGTTGGTATCTAGAAACTTCTAACTTACAGTTGATTATTTGAAGTACACTGCCAAGCTTATCATTTGCTACAGATAAAGCTGCTGCCAAACCCATTGTGATTTACATGTATTTTTTGTAGACACATGTTACATGGATGTAGACATGGATGTAAAAGTTGCTGTTTTTTCAGTGTTACTGGAGAATTTTTTGTGAGAAGCTGGAGAGGTGGCTCAGTGGCACTGGCTGCTCCACCAGGGGACCTGGATTCAATCCCCAGCACCCACGTGGCAGCTCACAGCTGTCTGTAGCTCCAGTTCCAGGAGATCCACCACCCTCACACAGACATATGTGCAGGCAAAACACCAGTGCGCATAAATTAAAAAGAAAGAAGTCATTTTTGAAAACTTTTTTTAATTTAAAGAATGTTTCTGATCATTTTTTCTGGGTGAGATTTATTTGAAAGTATACTTTGTAATCTTCTGAGTGAAATGCTGTCATGAGGAGCCACACCCATAAACACTGGTTGTCCCTGTTTGTGGGCCCTGGGGTCAGCACGGGGCGTGGCACTCGGTGTTAACTTGGCAGTCGTTCTGTGGAGGCTAAGACCCAGAGAGGCTGAACAACTTGCCCAGGGTCACAGAGCCGGCAGGTGATAGACGAGGGCTCCCCCTGCGGCTTTCTGACCCCAGAGCTCCGGGCTGACCCGTGCCTGCCCCGTTTGCCTGCGTTACTGTGGCTGCTGGTTTGTTTCATGGAGAACCGTGAGCACCGCTGCATGCGGACAGGGTGGGAGGCCTGCCTTCCCTTGTGCTTCCTTATCTCAGAACTGTCTTTCTCCAGGTCCTTGGTCTGCCAGCCTTGCCAAAGCCTTTGCTTGAGTGTGTGTATATGTATAGTACATAACTTAGTGTGCGTGTTGTTCCTTGAGCTGTTTCTACTTGTAACTGTGTTCAGGAACAGTTGGAAAAGTCTAGCTGTATTTGATAAATTGTGTCCAGCCTACTAATGAGCTAAATAGAACCAGAAGAAAGTCCAGTGAACATGTACTGAGTGCCACCAAGAGACATGTGTGTTAGACCTACTGAGTGCCACCAAGAGTCATGTGTGTTAGACCTACTGAGTGCCACCAAGAGTCATGTGTGTTAGACCTACTGAGTGCCACCCAGACAGAATCGTTCTTAGCTTTCATTCCCCACATCTCGTCTTTCAGGTGAATCTGTGCTCCCCCTACCTGTTGCTGAGAAGAGCAGTTCTGGCTTGTTTGCGGCAGCTGGTGCAGAGAGAAGCGGCTGAAGTTTCAGAGCATGCTGTCCTGCTGGCCAGGGACAGCAGGGACCTGGCTGCGGGTGATTCTTTTCTTCAGTATTAAGAATTTCCATGTATACATGTATTTTTAAATATTAAGTGTCTTAGGGTTTCTATTTCCTTATAAAGGAAAACATTTAATTGGGGTAACTTGATTGCAGTTCAGAGGTTCAATCCATTGTCATCATGGTGGGACATGGCAGAGTGCAGGCAGACATGGTGCTGTAGCTGTGCTGAGAACATTACATCTTACAGGCAACAGGAAGTGGTCTGAGACACTGGGCGGTATATATGAGACCTCAAGGCCTGCCTTTGAGTGGCAGTACCACAGTTCCTCCAGCAAGACCACATCTACTCCAACAAGGCCACTCTGTGTAATGCCTCTCCTTTGGGGGGCCATTTTCTTTCACACCACTACAACTTGTAAAGGCCAGGCAGTGAGGGCGCACGCCTTTAATCCCAGCACTCAGGAGGCAGAGACAGGCGGATCTCTGAGTTCGAGGCCAGCCTGGTCTACAGAGCTAGTTCCAGGACAGCCAGAGATATACAGAGAAACCCTGTCTTCAAAAACAAAAACAAAAACAGCCCCCCAAAAAAACTTAGTAAATGTTAATGCGTAGGGTCTTGGAAACCCGCTGCAAAAATAACCTCTAACCGTTACCATTTCACCTTGTGACCGCAGCAGCTTAGAGCAGTGATTCTCAAATTGAGCTAACTAGCAGTGTCCACCTCATGTGAGAACTTGTGAGAAATGCCTTTCAGTTCTTGGCCCAGCGAGCTGTCTCCATGAGTTGTTTTGACAGCCCTTCATTGGTCGATCAAGGATCCGGGCTGACATCAAGGTTTGTTCACAGCAGCAGGCTGTCTGGCTCAAGGCCGTTGCCACCAGCCTGTGGAGCCAGGTTTGGTCCTCAGAACTCATACAGCGGAAGGAAACGCTGAGTCCCGCAAATTGTCCTTTGCCCGCCATGCGTGCTCAGTTGTGCCCAACACCACTAAGCACACACACATTTAAAGAGTTTGTAAAAGAAATTAGATTTTGTCCTAAAGTAACTTCTCATGCATGCTTGCCTTCCACCAAAATAACATTTAACAAAACAGAGATGAGTCCTGCTATATGTTAAAAGATTTTTTTTGTCCTTTCTCCATTGTAGAGCAGAACTCAACATTGCTCAGTAAAATTTGTGGGTTTCTTTTTCAATTATGCATGCAGATGTGTGCCTGTGTTTGGGTATTTGTACGTGAGGGTACCTGAGGAGTTCAGAAGAGGACATCAGATTCCTTGCAGGTAGAATTGTAGGTGGATGGGAGCAAAGTCAGGTCTCTAGAAGAGCAGCAAATGCTCATAACCACAGAGCCTTTTCTGCAGCCCCAGTAAAATTTAAATGTATATCCAGTTTTATTTTGTACAGTGCTAAGAATTGAACCCAGAGAGCCTCAGGCATTCTAGGCAAGGGCTCTGTCACTGAGCCACATTCCTGACCCATATCCCTTCATTTTAAAACTGATAAAAGTAACTCAAACTTCATGTAGTGTTAACTGTAAGTAATAATGTTACCCCATTCTTGTATGTATAATTTCCAAAATACTATCATACTTTCAGAAAGTCACAGCTTTCGCAAAGCTCCCAGCTTCAAACTTTCAGGTCCATAATGTGTTTTACTGTCAAAGTCTTTCCAGTTTAGGTTATTCTGTTAGTACATTAAACCTGTGCTGGGTGAAGGTGGATCTGGAAAGAATTAGGGGGAAGAGTAGGAAGGTGAATATGATCAAAATCATTGTATGCATGTGTGCTGACTAGTTTCATGTCAGCTTGACACAGCTAAAGTCATCTGAGAGGAGGAAACCTCTCAACTGACAAATGTCTCCATAAGATCAGGCTGTAGGCAAGCCTATAGAGCATTTTCTTAATTGGTAATTGATGGGGGGGCTCCACCCATTGTGGATGGTGCCATCCCTGGGCTCGTGGTCCTGGGTGCTATAAGAAATCAGACTGAGCAAGCCAGTAAGCAGCTCCCCTCCATGGCCTCTGCATCAGCTCCTGCCTCCAGGTTCCTGCCTTGTTTGAGTTCCTGTCCTGACTTCCTTTGATGATGTACTGTGATGTGTAAGTGTAAGCTGTACACACACACAGAGAGGGGGGGGGGGTAAAAGGGAGTAGTTAGGAGGTCAACAGACAGGGTTTCTCTGTGTAACAGCTCTGGCTGTCCCGGAACTCGCTCTGTAGACCAGGCTGTCCTGGAACTCACAGGGATCCTCCCGCCTCTGCCTCCTGAGTGCTCACATTGAAGGCATGGGCCACCACCCCTTCTCCGACTCCCTGGCAGTTTTTTAAAGATGTACTTACTGTGCTTTATTTTGTGTGTATGCATGTGAGAGCGCGCATCTGTAACCAGAGTTACAGTCGTTTGTGAGCTGCCGAGGGAGTGCTGGGAACTGAACCCGGGTCGTCGGTAGAGCAGCAAGCACCCTTAACCGTGCAGCCGTCTCTCCAGCACCTACCGTTTGCTTTAAATTTTTTGAACATTTTTTTAAAATGCTTATTGGTCAGGAAAAAATAAAATACTACATCAGCTATGTGAGTAAAAATATAGTGAAGAACTCGCTGTCTTATTCCTTTTAAAATGTTTAATACTCGGTGCTGCAGAAATGGCGAGCAGTTTAGAGCACTTGTTCTTACAGAGGATCCAAGTTCAGTTCCCAGCACTTACGTGGTGACACACAGCCATCCATAACTCCAGTTCCAGGGGATCCAGTGCCCTCTTCTGGCACCCATAAGTGCCAGGCATACATGTAGTACATATACATACATGCAAACAAAACACTCATACATAAAAAATAAATATTAAAAATGTTTTAAATAAAAAATTAATATGTGATACTTATTAAAAAGTTGAAAGAACTGTGCAGCGAATATATAATTCGCCTTATCTAATATATTATAATGCTCGTTTTATATGTGTCTCCATCCATATTGACAGCATTAATTTTTGTCATGTCATTTCAAAGCGGGCTGTAGACCTCACAGTTAAGTCTACATACATCAGCTTGCATTCCCAAGAAGGGCTTTGCCTTCCATGCCACAACCTATTTTCCCACCCAGGAAGATTGAAGATTGGCAGTGACTTAGTAGCATCCTGAATTCACAGTCCTGAAGCCCCAGTCTATGGCTGTCTTAACGTTAGTATAGCCTTTTATTGCTAATCTGAAGCATCCCTACTGCTCCTTCTGATCTTTAAAAGAGAATTCTACTTGTAGAATATAAACAGTTTCATAAATGCCAATCTTTTTTTTTTTGTTTTGGTTTGGTTTGGTTTTTTGAGACAGGGTTTCTCTGCATAGCTTTGCGCCTTTCCTGGAGCTCACTTGGTAGCCCAGGCTGGCCTCGAACTCACAGAGATCCGCCTGGCTCTGCCTCCCGAGTGCTGGGATTAAAGGCGTGCACCACCACCACCCGGCTTTTTTTTTTTTTTAAAGATTTATTTATTATGTATACAGTGTTCTGACTGCAGGCCAGAATAGGGTACCAGATCTCATTACAGGTGGTTGTGAGCCACCATGTGGTTGCTGGGAATTGAACTCAGGACCTCTGAAAGAGCAGACAGTGCTCTTAACCGCTGAGCCATCTCTCCAGGCCCCATTAATGCCAATCTTAAAGAGACACTGTACTGGGTTTTGATGTTTCAGAGTTAAAGGAAGTAGATGCTGGATTGGAGCTATTTTGCTCCTCTGAGTTGCTTTATACTCTTCGGTGGGAATATTGTATAATGATGTACGTTAACTCAGAAGTGGAACTCTAATCACCAGTCAGTAGTTGTTTTCTGTTTAATTTGTTTAATTTAAGGGACCAGCAAGATGGCTCAGTAGGGTGAGGTCCTTGCTGCCAAGCTTAATGACCTGAGTTCAATTTCTAGGACCCACAAGTGATCATCTGACCTCCACACATGTGCCTTGTGCTGTGTGTACACATACATACTAATTTAAGCTATTTAGATTCTTTAGCTGGGTTTGGTGATACAGGCCTGTAATTTACCTGCTTGGGAGACTGAGGCAGGAGGATATGTATACATCCTATATTGCTGCGTTGAACATTGATTACATTGATTAGATACTATGTATTTGCCTAATTAAGGTGACATTAACTTTTTAAATTTTCGTTGCGTTTATTTATTGTGTGTGGGTTTGCACACATGTGGAAGTCAGAGTAGTCAGTTGGTTCTCTGCTTTCCATCGTGTGGGTTCCAGAGTTGTCGAGCTCGTTATCCACTGAACTGTCTGGATAGCCTGATAGCCTTAACTCTTAAAAGAGGTACTAAGGTTCCTTTTTTAAATGGCTGTACAGGATTGTCAGTAACCCCAGAGGTCAGCTGTGACTTAATCTCAGCCTCAGTAGATGAAGCACAGCATCTAGGCTAACCTTTGAAGTACATTGATGTGTGGTGTTTAGTAACCACTGAACATGTGTGCTTCTCACGTGGCAGTTCCGTTTCCTGTATGGCTTACATCCTCCGTTTTCTTCTTGCCAGATGCTAACATCAGAGAAGTGGGCCTTGAAGGGGCGCTGCTGGCCTTACTAGATAAAGAGACAGACAGAAGCTTATGCCAGGATATCAGAGAGACCTTACATCACATGCTGACGTCCATGGCAGTGGAAAAGCTCTCCCTTTGGTTAAAGCTTTGTAAAGATGTGCTAGCTGCATCGGCCGGTGAGTACAACAGTGAAACCAGAGGAAAGAAACCTAGTAGGGAATGGTTTGCCACGGACAACTGGTTCACTTAACTGCTTATGTTAGTTATTGTGTGATCACTGCTCCCTTCAAATGAAGATGCTGCTCTGTCTGATTAGAATTGTCTTGGTTTTGCACAGCATAAATGTAATGATTAGGCTGTTTTGTTTTGTTTTTGTCTTAATTTTTTTCTGTAACAATTTGGGTTTTTTTTTGTTTTGTTTTGGTTTTGTTTTGGTTTTTCAAGACAGGGTTTCTCTGTGTAGCTTTGCGCCTTTTCTGGAACTTGGGAGGCAGAGCCAGGCAGATCTCTGTGAGTTCGAGGCCAGCCTGGTCTCCAAAGTGAGTTCCAGGAAAGGCACAAAGCTACACAGAGAAACCCTGTCTCAAAAAAAAAAAAAAAAAAAAAAAAAAAAAAAAGAGTTCTACATCTTGATTCGCAGGGCAGCAGAAGGAGGCTGTGTGTCACAATGAGCATAGCTTGAACATATGAGACCTCCAAGCCCGCCCCCATAGTGACACACTTCCTCTGATAAGACCACACCTACTCTAATAAGGCCGAACCTCCTAATAGTGTCACTCTCTATGGGCCTATGGGGGCCATTTTTTTTTTCAAACCGCCACATAGTTATACCATTTTTTTGCATGTATTATAAATGATTGCTACATGTCAACATAATAGAAAAGTTACCATAGTTGACTGTAGCTGGAGTTTTCCTGCCTTGCCCACAGTCAGGACAAATCTTTGTCACCCGCCAGTCCCACAGCCGCTCAGACCCAACCAAGTAAACACAGAGACTTATACTGCTTACAAACTGTATGGCCGTGGCAGGCTTCTTGCTAACTGTTCTTATAGCTTAAATTAATTCATTTCCATAAATCTATACCTTGCCACGTGGCTGGTGGCTTACCGGCGTCTTCACATGCTGCTGGTCATGGCGGCGGCTGCAGTGTCTCTCCGCCTCAGCCTTCTGCTTCCTCCAATTCTCCTCTCTCCTTGTCCCACCTACTTCCTGCCTGGCCACTGACCAATCAGTGTTTTATTTATTGACCAATCAGAGCAATTTGACATACAGACCGTCCCACAGCAGTTGACATTTTGTGATACTGAGGCCTTGCGATTGACAATGAGCTAACAGTACCTACCAACACCCAATAGTTGACATTTTGAGCAGTCTGGTCTCTCCACAGTTAATAAAGTTAATTTCAAATGGTGTTAGATGCTGTATTAGTCAGGGTTTTCTAGAGTAACAGAACTTATAGAATGAATTTCTATATATGTATATCTACATAGGGAATTTACTAAAATGACTTACAGGCTGTGGTCCAGCTAATCCAACAATGGCAGCCTGTGAACCGATAGTCCAAGAATCTGGTAGTTGCTCAGTTTGTGAGGCTGGATGTTTCAGCTAGTCTACAGTATATGCTGGAATCCCAAAGAAGTAGCTCTAATGCCAGTGAAGGAATGGACTTGCTAGCAAGGTGAGAGCAAGCAGGGAAGGAGCAGAAGTTTCCTTCTTCTGTGTCCTTATATAGGCTGCCAGCAGAAGACATGGCCCAAATAGATCTCAATTAAAGGCTTGTCTTCCTACCTCAAAGATCTGGATTAGAAGTAGATATTCCTTCTTTGAATTAAACAGAAATCCCTCACAGGTGTGCTCTCCTTTTTCGGGTTTTAGCTAATTCCAGATGTAGTCAAGTTCACAACCAAGAATAGCATTACAGATGCCAAGTGTGGGCTGCATGCCTGTGATCCCACTCCGTGAAGATCCTGGCAGAAGGATCAAGAACTCAAACCAGTCTCATTCTTACTGCATAGTGAGTTCGGGACCAGGCTGGGCTATGTAAGACCACCTCAAACACAAACAAAACTGGTATGATGGCATGTGCCTGTAATCACAGCACTTGGGAGAAGCGGGCAGGAAGATCAGAAGTTAAATGTCTTCCTAGCCAAGTTCGAGGCCAGCCTGGGAAACATAAGAGGTCCTGCCTTAGGAAAAAAAAGAAGTTTAAAAATGAAATTAAAGAATTCAATAGTATTGAAAATCATGTTACTTGACTAATGCCTTAGCCTAATAAAAAGAATGTTTGAGGTCTTAAACTGTGTCTTCTTAATTTAAGTGAAAATGAGAAGAGAAAAAGCAAATTTCATTTCAGCCAAAGTGATTTTTTTTTTTTAAATTTTATGTGCATTGGTGTTTTGCCTGCATGTGTGTCTGTGTGAGGATGTCAGATCCCCTAGAACTGGAGTTACAGACAGTTGTGAGCTGCTGTGTGGGTGCTGGGGATTGAACCCGGGTCCTCTGGAAGAGCAGCCAGTGTCCTTAACACTGAATCATTGCTCCAGCCTGAAAAGTAATTTTTAAATCTGACTTAATCTTTTAACTCACCCTCTGAATAGGCTGGATTATCCTTTTTCCCAAAGAGAAAGCTGGCTTGAAGAGATGGGTAACTTACCTAGAGACACAGATTCAATTCTTACCTCATCTGTTTACCTTTAAAATCTGCATATCCTCACAGAGTTTCAGTACCTTCCAGTTTCATTGACAGAGGTCTCTGGTCTATGCGGAAGGAAAAAGTACTGTGGAATTCCTAGAGGGTTTGTCCTGTTTCGTCTGATTTGACTTAGTGGTTGGTCCTCATACCATCTACTGTCTACAACTTAAGACTTAATGAGGACTTCTGCTTTAAAAGAAAATGTAGCTCTGGCTTGGGATCTAATTCAGTGATAGGGGATTACCTACCACATGTGAGGCCCTGAGTTCAAGCCCCAGAAAAAGAAGAAAAGACCACCTCTAATCCTGTGGAAACAGGATGGTTCAAAGTTCAAGTTCATCCTCAGCTACATAGCAAATTCATTGTCAGCCCATGCTACATGAAACCCTATTTCAAAAAACTTAATTTCCTTAAATGTGTTCATAATTACATTAATTTTTTTCTACTGTCTTTCTTATTTAAATTTTGTTTCTGCTCTCTCTGCCTCCACTCCCTCAGTGCTAGGATCCTAGGTGTGCACCACCATGCCCAGCTCTTTTTTTAACTTCACGTTTGTGCTCCCTGAGGTTCCTGACTCAGTTGTGTTTCATCAAAAATGTTTCATTTTGTTTGCCTCTGGCACCTCCCTGACCACAACTCATAGAGAAGGATCCCATGCCTGACACTGGATTTCCATTCAGTAGCCCATGGCTTCTAGGAGCAGTATCATCCAATACCTAAACAGGTACCTTCATTCAGAGGCCTTTAACACACAGACACACAGACAGACAGACAGACACACACACACACATGCTTCAGTTAACAATTCAATAAAGATCATAAATATTGACTGCCCCTACTTCATCTCCTTTACCCGCCATGTTTTTCACTTCTACTTTCATATACCATATGTCCCGCTCTCCTGTCACCCTCTGTGGGACCTTTCTGGGTTCCTACCTGCCACAGCCACTCCAAATTAAACATACAAATCTTAAATATGAAACCAGGATCCCTGTGAGAGAGAACATGAGCTGTTTGTCTTTCTGGGCCTGTGTCAACTCAGTATATTTTCCAGTTCTGCCTGTTCTGCAGATTTCACCATTTCATTTTTCTTTCCAGCTGAATAAAATACCACATTTTCTCATCCATTTATCAGCTAACGAGTAGCTAGGCTGACAGAGCAGCAGTGAGCATGGATGAGCAGGAACCTCTGAGATGGGCCATGGAGTCCTTGGTTCTGGGCCTAGCTAGGAGTGGGATAGCTGGCCCATCTGGAAGTTCTCTTCCAGCGTTTGAAGAACTTCCATGCTGATTTCCATCGTGTCTGTACCAGCTTTGCCAACAGTGAACAGGGTTCCTCTTCCGCGCATGTGTGTAAGAGTGGAGATGAACAAATGGGAGCAAATTGCTGGCACGGGACTAAAGACAAGGTTCTAGGCTGTGGTTCTAGCAGACCGCACTCGGTGTGTGTGAGGGGCTGAGAGGGCACCCGTGTTCACTGTGGCCTCCTTTTGTTCTCTGTGGTTCTGGCATGTGGAGCAGGGGGGTTCTAATTCCTTTCCTGGTGGTTTCTTTGGACCCCTGCATTCTACCTTGACCTCTTCTGATCCTGCAGGTCTGGTTTAGTTTGTCATTGCTGTTTGGGGTTTTTTTGGTGTTTTGATTTTATTAATACTCTATGATTTGACTCCATCCTTTCTTATTGGGAAACTATCTTTCAATCTCTGTACACTTTTTCTTTTTTCTTTTTTTTCTTTTTACTTTTTTAAGATAGTTCTTTACTATGTAACCCTGGCTGACCTGCAAATCTCTCTACTGATCAGTCTGGCCTTGAACTCATCTGCCTGTCTACCTTCAGAGTACAAGGAGTTAGAGTGTGCATTATCACATCTGGTTCTGTAGACTTTTTATTAACCGTGTATTCTTTGGTAAAACTTCACTAGTGAGTTCTTTACTATCCTAACATACACACACACACACACACACACACACACACACACACACACACACACACACAAGTTGAAAATACTGACATATGAGATAGTAAGATTAACAGTTAGCAAGTTAACAGATGTAGGCATGATGACATATGTCTTTAATCCCTACACCCTACAGGCAGAGGCAGGCAGATCTCTAGGAGTTCAAAACCATCCAGCACTGACCCTGTCTCAAAAGAAAAAGTTAATGGTTAATAAGAAACATTTCCCTAACTGGTAGCTAGAAGTATAACTTTGAGACTATAATAATAGCAGTGAATGTCCTAACAGAAATATTTAAGTGTGGTGTGTGTGTGTGTGTGTGTGTGTGTGTGTGTGTGTGTGTGTGTGTGTGTTTTCTGACTATTTCAGTAGGTTCAAGAACTTAAATCCACGTAAGGCCTTATGATTGAGGTTTGTTGTTGTTGTTTTGGAGATCAGAGTGACAGCTAATACTGTTGCCAGTTGTTAGGAGACCTAATTATATTCTGTTATCATAAGGGTGTATGACTGATTAATAGTAATTCTAGTCTGCATTTGGAGTTGTGTTTGTGTTCTTTAATAGCTGTGTCTTCTGGTTAATTGTAATTGTGTATGTTTCCCCTTGATAAAGATTTTACAGCTGTAACTTGCGTGGATCCAATGCAAGAGGAGGATGGAGACAGAGGAGATGATGCCTCCGTCTTGACCAGCAGAAGTGACGGAAAACCACACCCGTTCAGTAACCCCCGATGGGCCACCAGAGTCTTCGCTGCCGACTGTGTCTGCAGAATAATCACCCAGTGCGAGAATGCAAACAGCGCCCATTTTGACATTGCTTTAGCACAAGAACTGAAAAAACGTGATTCAAGAAGTAAGTGGCCCGGGAGGGGAACAGGCGAAGGATGGCCGTCGGGCTGGCTGCTGTGCTTTCTTTTCCTTTTGAATGACGCTGCAGCACTGCCAGGCCTTCTTCTGGATGGACAGGCCACCTCCCACTTGCCCTGTACTCAATAGGTGCTGAGTAGTCAAGTGTTCCGGCTTCAGTTCCCGGAACCTGTAAGGTAGAAGAGAAGAGCCACTTTCTGGTGCTTGCACACACTGTGGCACACGTGTGCGCATGCACACACACATACTAGTAAACATAATTTTAAATTTTTTGTAAATCAAAATGTTGGTATTGCCAGTCTGAATATACGTTGTGTTTAATAGTTTTCAAGCAAGCGTTTATTTTGATACCTGTTTGGGATGAATATCATTTTAGACACTAATGATAGAAAATCGGTGTGCCATTCACTGTCTCCCTGACTCCATACTACAAATCAAGATTGTAGTTGGCCTTTACTAAGATGTGGTAGTTTTTACTGTGTACTCTAACTGATACTGAGTTTGTTGTGTGTTTTCTTGATAAATGCTGATTTCCTAAGCACTACTGGAACACTGTTAAATGATTTTCTTCTCTCTCTCCTCAGAATTTTTATAGCAAGAATGTGTTTTAGGAATGAAAGGAATTAACATTTTTCATTTCTGTAGCTAGAGTTGTTTTTATATATTTTTGTGTTTGACAAGATGTGGAAAAAAACATAATCCATATAAAGAGCTACATGGAACTTTTTTAAGTCCCCTGTCACCAACTTGACATAAGAAGAATAAACTACTGCCGAGTTCGTCACAGCCCAAGCGCTGCGGAGTACAGTTAGTGTGCTTTTCTCGGACAGTCTGGACCAAGTGCTTGTGGAGACACTGCTAGCACTCGGTTATTCTAAAGAGCCGCAGTTCTGCTCTGGGCTTTGGAAGAGCTGTCTATAGAGTTGTTCCGTTTCAGGTGGCTTGTGTATATTTGCGTGTGCATTAAATTGAGCCTGAAAGTCTATTTTATTAACACAGGATGGAACAGAGCAGTAAGTCAAATTGGGAAGGCCTAAAAGGAAGAGTGTGGGCTGTGAAATGCAGAGAGAACATTGTCACATAACGTAAATCTTAGTTTATCCTATTCTTTTTCATGATAGTACATATTTTCCATCTTCTAGATGATTTCTTGGTGCTTCATCTTGCTGACTTAATTCGCATGGCTTTTATGGCTGCCACGGACCATAGTGACCAGCTCCGTCTCTCTGGCCTTGACACACTCTTGGTTGTTATTCGACGATTTGCAGATATCCCCGAGCCAGAGTTCCCGGGTCATGTTATTCTGGAGCAGTATCAAGCCAATGTAAGCATTATCTGCTACAGCCTCTGGTGTTGCTGTAAACACCACTGGTAAAGGCTGTGAGGTCTTGTCTGTCGCCTGTTAGTCCACAGAGATTCTTTCTTCTGATCCATGGCCCTTACCCTCTGTGCACAGAAAGTACACGCATTCTTAGGACAAATCTGATAGCTAGCATTTTATAAAGCTCCACGTAAAAGCAACATCATATGTTAAAACAGTAGCTGTACCCTCCAGGTTGATTTTATAATTAAAACCTTTCTAATTTACAGCAGCAGTAAATAATCAGGCTGCATACATGCTTTACCTTCAGTGCTCCTAGATTGGAGTGCTGCATATGACCTTCTGTGTTTAATAGTCAAGGATGGAAGTAGAACCATCTGGTGACCTGTCTGTTGATTGACAGCAGTTTGTGATGGTTGGAAACAGGAGACCTCTAGAGCAGTTCTCTAGTTGGTCGGCCAGCTCCGTCGCCTCTTCCCAGCAAACAGAGCCAGTGTGTGCATGGGGATGTAGCCTAAGGAGGGGTGAAGCCCACGGAAATCCCATGTTGGAACAGATACTGTAACAGCTTGGCCAGGCTGAGCACTTTGTTTCTGCCCTCATACAACTGCTGGTGCAAGAAACACAGCTGGGCAAGAAAATGGGGGTTCTCCACACTGGCTTTCCTCTGGGCGCCCCCCGCCCCCCACACACACCCCTCTGATTGGTAACAAGATGATTCTTCCCACACTCAGGCCTTTACAGAGAAACAGCCCCTCTCCAGCAAAGGGCTTGAGAGATGTGGTTCTCTGGAGCCAGTTACTAGCTCCACAGCGACTCCACAGACTGAGAGTTCTCGGAGTGGGGCTCTTCCCTGGAGGCGGAAGTGTGCTGCCCTACAGGACAGACGGACATGTGCTGCCATACAGGACAGACAGACGTAGTGGCCTGTGAGACCTGTCCTTAATGGATGATTTCCATAACGTTAAAGCAGTGCTCCCTTGTTGACATCTGACGTACCTTGTGATCCCTTGTCAGGTTGGAGCAGCTCTGCGGCCAGCCTTTACTTCAGAGACACCACCCGACATCACTGCCCGAGCGTGTCAGGTACGTGGATCCAAAGGCAAAGCTCAAGAGACACCTGAGCAGCCAGGCACTGGGGAGGCTGAGGCAGGAAGCTTGCATGAGCCAAAGCCAGCCTGTGCTACATCCTGAGCTCCGTCCTCAAGGTTCTTCTTACAGTCTCACAGTCATGTCAGCACGCCCTTTTCCTTCCCTGCTGACATTTGGGAAACAGCAGCTTCTCACCCACAGCTGCCTGGTGCCCCAGGCTGTGAGAGTCGCGTTTACTAGAACACTTGATGCTGATGGGCTGGTCGGTGTTTCTTCTGTCCCCTTTACAAATACGGCCACAACTGCATGTGGTGACACGCGCCTTTAATCCAGCACTCCACTCGGGAGGCAGCCTGTTTTAGGACAGCCTGTCTTGAAAAACCAAAAAATAAAATAAAATAAAAACATGGCCACAGCGAGTCATCCTGTATAGGTCCTTTCACTGAATAGACTGAATTGGTGAGTCCGAAAAGGGTGTATTAGAGGAATTTGCCAGATCAAACTCACACCAGCAATGTATGCAATGTTTTCCCACATTATCAGCAGCATTATTATGAGTTACCAAACTTTTAGACTTTGATTGACTAAAAATGGTGTGCCAGGAGAGCCCAGGTTGGCATTTCAAGCAAAGTGAAGCATGTTTTACATGTCTCTTAAGAGTTGGGCGATGCATTTGGAAACAGCCCGTGGGTGTCCTGGGGATGCGTTGGCAGGCACTCGGTGGCCAGCCCGTAGGTGACCTGGAGTAATAAGTTATAAACATAATACAGCTTGCATCCGTCCTTTCGTCTTCCCTTTTCTTTTCATTGTTTTTAAAGGGTGTCTGGTGCTGCAGTTGAGTGCAGGGCCTCATGCATGCCACCTAAAGTGTGTGCTCTGTCGCTGAGAAGCCTTCCCAGCATTCACCTTGTTTTTACCTCGTTGAACTTTGGAACTGTTTGAGTACCATCAGTATCAGGAGAACTGTGCATAAGGAACTTTTGTCCTAAGTCCCAGACTTAGCATCTCTTTGTATGAGTGTTCTTGCCATAAACCACCTGAAATCTTAGCAAATGAGACAAGATTTAGATAAAGAGATGTAGGCCAGGAGGTGACGCACACCCTTAATCACAGTGCTCAGGAGGGACAGGTTCTAAAGTGACAGAGAAACCCTGTCTTGAAAAACCCAAAATGAATGAATAAATCAATAGCTGTTCTTCTCTACTTAAAATGGGGTTCTGTGCTGGGCAGTGGCAGCGCACGCCTTTAATCCCAGCACTCAGGAGGCAGAGGCAGGCGGATCTCTGTGAGTTCGAGGCCAGCCTGGTTTACAGAGAGAGTTCCCAGACAACCAGAAAGAGCTGTTACACAGAGAAACCCTTTCTTGAAGAACAACGACAAAAGCATAGGGTTCTGTGTCAATAAAATCTGCATGAGTGGAAGGAACCCGTGGAGCTCCAGTGCCAGCCGCTGCTCCTGGGCACCCTAGCATAGCACTTGTGATGGGGTGCCTGAGTAGGACTGTGGCTTTCCGCCTCCTCCCAAAATCGCAAGAGTGCATTTGGACTCCCTGTCAGTAGAAAGTCCAGCTTTTCCTAACTTAGTGCCTTTGTAAATAATAAAGTTTGAAAATAGGAGGTCAGAGGCCAGCTGTACATGGACAAGGGCAAAAGTATTTTTCTCTAGAAAGAGAGCTACCATGGGATGTGGAAAAGCAGAGTCCCTAAAAGTTTAGTAAATGTAAGGCGGCATTGCATATTTTACAGCCTTTGGTTAGTGTTGTGACAGGTTGGTTGGTTGGTTAGTTTAGAAACAGGGTCTCACTCTGCAGCCCTGACTGACCTGGTCTCACTGTGTAGGTCAGCCTGGCCTCAAACTCTCAGAGATCCTCCTGCCTCTGCCTCCCGAGTACTGACATTAAAGGCGAGTGCCGCCACATCCAGCTTCCCCTTTGGTTTTCAGGGACTGGACCTGCTGTAGCCTGGCTGGCCTGGAACTCCCGCTCCTCCTGCCTCTGCCTCCCACTGCTGGGCTGTGGGCGTGAGCACTGTAGTTGGCCCTGCATTGCGGAATGGGAATGGTGCTCTGTGGTGGTGGCTTTGGTTTGTGTTTTAGATAAAATAAACTGATTAGTAGGATCAAAATCTTTCTTAGAGACTGGGAATCTAGCTCAGTAAAAAAACACTTGCCTGGCATAGTGCGATTCCAGGTGCAGTCCCTAGCACTGCAGAATAAAATAAAGCCTTCCTTGGAGTGTTTTGTTTTGTTTTATTTTGAGACAGGTCTCACCGTATAGTTCTGGATGACCTGGAACTTACTATGTAGACAAGACTGGCCTCCCAAAGATCCACCTGCCTCTGCTTCCTGAGCACTGAGACTGAAGGCCTGCACCATCACACCCAGCTTCATGGGGTTCTAAATGTTAAGTCTGGGTCTTTTAACTAACCACACGGTTGGCCACACAGTCTCTTAATTTTAAATAATGAGAGAAGGCACTCAAGATTAGACTGTTATTTCAGACATTTATCCAGCAGTTTATGGTTATGGACTCACAGTTAACTCTTCCTCTTACACACTAAAGAACACTGTTTTATTGCTTCAGCCTTAGTCTCTGCTCAGTTTTGAAGTTCTGGCTTTCAATTCTTTGTCTGCTGCATTCTGTTAGGTTTCCTGGTTAAAAAAAGAAAAATTATTTCTGGGCTGGAGAGATGACTCAGGTTAAGAACACTGGCTGCTCTTCCAGAAGACCTGGGTTCAGTTCCCACCACCCACTTGGCAGCTCACAGCTGTCTGTAACTCCAGTTCTGGGGCATCTGACATCCTCACACAGACATGCGTGCAGACGAAACACCAATGCACATAAAATAAAAATAAATAAATCATTTAAAATTTAAAAAAAAAAAAAAGATGATTTCCGTGGCTAGATCCCTCCTAAGATTTGGGTGGGCTCTACTAAACTCACAAAGAACTACAGAATTTTTCCATCGAATTTTTGCTTTTCTCCAAACCAGGTTTGCAGTGCCTGGATAGCAAGTGGAGTTGTAAGTGACCTCGGTGACCTCCGCAGAGTTCATCAGCTACTTGTCTCATCACTAACAAAGATCCAGGCTGGAAAGGAGGCTCTCAGTCACCTGTATAATGAGAGTGCTTCTACCATGGAGATCTTGGCCGTGCTGAAAGCCTGGGCAGAGGTCAGTGCTCTTCATTGATATGGGAATTATGAAAGCCGTTAGACACCGGAAACACTGTAGCCTGTAAAATACAAGTATGCGGAAGTCTTGTTGGCACGATTTTTGTTAGTCTGCATGTGTTTGCCAAGGATTGAACTCAGGTCCTTTGATTGAACCAGACATGGTAGGGAAGGCCTGTCTGAGCCATACCCTAACCTTGGTGGTGGTTGTTGTTTGGTTGGGGTTTTGTTGTTTTTGTTGTTGTTTTTGTTTTGAGGCAAGGTCCTCCCATGTAGCTGAGGCTGGCAGTAAAGTTGTGATTCTCTTTCCTCAGCTCTCAAATGCTGAGACCAGCTGTGCCCCAGTTAAGTAGTAGTCCGTTTTCAAGATAAACCAAAGATTCCAAGTGAGATTTATTTATATATGAATTGACTTTGGAAAAGCAGTCTAAAGAGTCAAGCAGGAGCAGTTATGAATTAAAGAAGCTATATAAAGCTGGGCAGTGATGGGCACACACCTTTAATCCCAGCACTCTGGAGGCAGAGGCAGGTGGATCTCTATGAATTTGAGGCCAGCCTGGTCTACACAATGAGTTCCAGGACAGCCAGAGCTACACAGAGAAACCCTATCTTAAAAAGACAAAAAAAAAGTAAACAAACAAAAAATCATTTTCAAATAAAACTTTCTATTCACATGGTGTTATTTGTAATTTAAATCTCCTTGTTTTTCATTAAACCTTCTCTTAGTTTTTCCTTGGATAATGACTGATCAACGTATTCTATGTAATAGAGGCCCCTAATCCCTGTCTGAAATTCCTGGAGCCAGATACATTTAGAATCAAAACTAGGGCTGAAAGTAATCCAGTATGTGTTCTACTCATCTGTCTGAGAAGTCAGGGGCAATAACAGGGACCTTATAATCAAGCATATTAGCATATCTAGAGTAGAGTATTTGAGTATTCATACTGTGCTGTGTATAAAAACTGAATTAAATTTGTCCAGTTTTGCCATTATCTTAGCTTAACACAACATACATATTTCAGAGTTTTGTTTTGTTTTGTTTCAAAGTTGGCTCTTTTAGGTTTTAGAGTTACAGGACTAAAGTTATTCTTTAGTCCATGAGTCTATTTAAGTAAACCTTTTTATAGTGGCTTAATGGTAATTCTACTAAGCATATTTTTGGTACCCGCAGTTCAGTTGAGAAAGAGCTGTCTGCAGCCACGTGGTGAGGTGGGTTATTAGGTTACCCCAGAGTGCTGCTGTTACAGCTGCCATGTGTTGAAGTGCAGACTGGCAAGATGTTTCCCAGTATTTATTATCTCCGGGACAGCTCAGGGGAGGGTTTGGTTTTGTTTTGTTTTGTTTCTTTTTAGATTTATTTATTTTATTATTTTATGTGTATGAATGTTTGCCTGAATATATATATATATATTTGCACTGCATATGTGCCTGGTGCATGTGGAGGTCAGAAGATGGCGTCAGATTCCCTGGAACTTCAGTTACAGATGGTAGCTTGTAACCATATAGGTGCTAGGAATTGAACATAGGTCCCCTGCAAGCAGCCAGTACTCTTAATTGCTAAGCAATTAATCTTCTTCCCCAGAGATGATTTTTTTATCTTTCTACAATCTGTATATGTTTATACATACATGCCTTCTTTTTTTTTTAAAATAATTTTTAGCACTTTATTTTTAACTAGTTTTGTGTTATGTGTCTTTTGAGTGTGTGCTGTGCATGCATGTGTGGGTGGTGTGGATGCCAGAAGAGGGCATGGGATCTACACAGTCACACCGCCGCCCCTTGAGTTACAGGCAGTGGAGAGCCAAGCCACTTGATGTGAGTGTTGGGGATTGAACTCAGATCCTCTAGAAGATGGCTCAGCATGTGCTCTTATCCGCTGAGCCATCTCTTCAGCCCTACATGCCTTCTTGATACCACAGTGCATTTCAAGTTGGATGTTCTCAAAGGCAAGCCCATGTCTTCAAGGAAGCATAAAAACATTGTTTCATCAGACACAAGATTTTCCTTCTAATTATAAACTTTTAACAGGTCTACATAATTGCTGTGCAAAGACATAAAAATCACAAACAAACTTTGAAGACCACTGTTAATTCAGAAGACAGTGTGCGAAGTCGGTCCCCTCCGACTGATGGTCTTCTTGACTTAGTCTGCGCAGACCTGGGCACACTAAGCAGACTCTGGCTTGCTGCACTTCAGGATTTTGCTCTCTTAACTTTGCCTGCAGAATTTGCCTCCCAGCTTCCTGTTGAAGGTAAGGAGGAAAAATAAGTTAATAATATCTAGAGTGACAGTGACTTCTATTCCAAGATTTCTCCTGTAGTTTGTTAGTGTGTGATGTTTGGCTAAAACATTTCCCCCAGAACAATTTTTATTCATGGGATAAGCAGCTAAGAGTTGCATTAATGTAGACAACCAGAAATTTTCTTGTTTCGTTTTTGTTTTTCGAGACAGTTTCTCTATGTAACACCCCTGGCTGTCCTGGAACTCGCTCTGTAGACTATGCTGGCCTTGAACTCACAGATCCGCCTGTCTCTCTCTGCCTGGGATTAAAGGCATATGCCACCATGCCTGGCTTTGTTCTTTTTTCTTGAGAACCAGACATTTTTAATTCCCCAGGTCATAGTCATCTGTCCTCACAAGATAGGGTACTTGGAAATACCTCTCCAGAGTAGCCTTAATACCCTATGTGTGCACCAGTGTGGTTTTCACGCTCTCTAACTTAAGATATCGTTTCACTTCTGCCAATCTAGTGGAGCCGGGAGGTTCCTCCGGTCCCACCAGCCCCGCAGTCCTGCAGCTGCTTATAAAGCAATCATTCAGAGACTTACATTATTTACAAACTGTGTGCCTATAGCAGGCCTCTTGCTAACTAGCTCTTATATCTTAATTAACCCATTTCTATTTATCTGTGTTTTGTCACATGGCTTCATGGCATTACCTATTCTTATATCTCGCTTCTCCTGGTGGCTGAGGGCAGCTCTCAGTGTCTCTCTCTCCTCTTTCCTTTCTTATTCCTGTCTCTCTCTTGGATTTCCACCTGCCTCTAAGCTGCCTTGCCATAGGCCAGTGCAGCTTTACTTATCAACCAATCAGAGCAACACATATTCACAGCATATAGAAAGACATCCCACAGCAATCTTAAGAAGTTACCTTTAATCAGCCCTGGGACCCAACAGCTATAATGCCAGGAAAAGTCAAACATTAGTAACAGAACTAAGCAATTTAGCAACATGAAGAAATGTCCAGAAACGTGGGGCACAGTAAGATGAGTCACGGACAAACTGTAGAGAGGGTTCATGCATGTCAAGCCCAAGAACAGACAGAGCTCATCTGTGCTGATAACATCGGAAAGCACTTGCCTGGGGGAGGGGGGGGGTGCTCAGGGGCTTCCTGGAAGGGTTCCAGATGCACTTTCTGAACACTGGAAGGCGGTGTCTGCAGTTCCTACTGACTGCTTCCTCCTCTGGCAGGCGGTGCTTTCTACACAGCGGAGACTAGCGACCACGCCAAGCTGCATTACCACAGCTCCTGGGCGCTCATCCTCCACGCTGCTGCACTGTGGCTCACCAGCACAGGCTTCGCTGACCCGGAAGAAGACGCTGCCAATCTCTCAAGGCCTGTAACTCCGACTTCCATGTGCCAGGGCTCATCATCTTCTGGGGCTGCAGTGAAGTCCCCGGAGGATGTCTACACTGACCGGTTCCATCTGATTTTAGGTCAGCTTTTCAAAGAGCTTAACAGTGCCAGCGGGCTTATCCTTGAGTTGTGCCTTACTGCCTGCCTCCCCCTGGGGACTGTCACCTCATTCTTTGCTGCTTGTTGGTGACATCATTAGTGAAACTAAAATATTACAAATTGTATTATACTAAGTCTAGAATCCTGTCACAAGTTGGCTTCACTGTCAAGTTGATCAATTATAGAATTTACAAGAGAAGTTTAGTCCCTTTCTACAGAAGTTTTGTTTGATTGGTGGGCGAGGGGGATTGTTTTGAGACAGGATCTCAGAATGTAGCCCAGGCTGGCCTGGAACTTCTCCTCACTCCCAAGTCTGAGATTCCAGAAGTGTGCCGCCACAGCCAGCTTTCCATAGTTCTGTTGGTTTTATATGTAGGCATGTGTGCCTTCTGTGTCTGTACGTGCATGTGAGTGTAGGTGCCCGCTGAGGCCAGAGGAGGCTTTGGTTCCCTGGAGCTGCCGGTGTGGATGCTGGGAACTGAACTCGGGTCCCCTGAAAGAGCTGTATGTGCACTTAACCACTGAGCTGTCTCTCCAGAAGAGAGGCTTCTACAGATAGATGTTCTGAATTTCCTGCTATATGCATTTAAAAAATAGGAATATGCTGGTGTGTTTTCATTAAGTTGTTCCCAAAAGTTGCAGGTTTCAAAAAGTGTATGTTCAGTGACTTTTTAAAAGGAAAATCAGGAGACTCCGCAGTTATGAATTGTTGCTGCTCTCCCAGAGGACCTGAGTTCAGTTCCCAGAACCGACTTCAGGATACTCACAATCACCTGTAACTCCATCTCCAAAGATCAAACGTCCTCTTCTGGACACCGTAGACGCACAAGCACGCGCACACACACACACACACACAGCTGTATTATTATTTACTTGCACTGTCCTCTGTGATTATCTTATCACATTGACTTATTTAACTAAGGATCTCAGAAGCCTCTCCTTGGCCTTTCGCAGGAATCAGTGTGGAGTTCCTGTGTTCCCTGCGCTCAGACGCCACCATGGAGAGCATCACCGCCTGCCTGCATGCACTGCAGGCCCTTCTCGATGTTCCTTGGCCCAGATCTAAAATCGGCAGTGATCAGGTATTGTGCTTTGAGTAGGCTTCCGTGGCTTCACGAACAGAAATGTATTCAGGTTCCTACACTGAACAGGACTGAGCAGAGATCACAAAAGAAAGAAAGCACCCCAGCCAGCCCTGGGATGCGCTGGAGTTTGGGGACCCAGCACAGTAGCCATCGTTCCGTGTGGCGATCTTTTCTTTTCTGTGAACCCACTCTTTGCGCTCATCTCTGTCTTATTTTGCATTTCTCCCAAGAGACAATGTACTTGATGTATACCGCTGTCCGTGACCAAGTCTCCCTGTGGTCTGAGCTCTCCTCCTGGTCTTCAGTCTGGCTATGGTACCAGGATGGCTGCAGAGTCCAGCACCTCCTCTGACTAATTAGAGGAAGTTGGGGTCAGGGGGGTGCTCTTCGCAGCCTGTGTGATTTGTCCTGTCACTGACTCGGTTTTTTTTGTTTGTTTGTTTGTTTTTTTTTTTTTTTGTTTTTTTTGAGACAGGGTTTCTCTGTGTAGCTTTGTGCCTTTCCTGGAACTCACTTGGTAGCCCAGGCTGGCCTCGAACTCACAGAGATCC